GAAACAACGGTTGTACACACCTCTGCCGGTCTGTCGACTCGGTGTTGTGGGTGGTCCGGTTGTGCTTCAGTTGAGGGATAAGTTCCTAAATGTTTATACTCTCGGCGGAGCCACTCCGCGAAACCATAGCTCCGTGTTTCTACTGAACACCTCGGCGGAGCCACTCCGCGACACTATAACTCGGCAACCTTGCCCTCGTTTATCGCTCTTACACTCTTACATATTAGCCCTAGCCCTTCAAAGCCCGGTCGACACGGACGGCTAGCCGCTCGGTGCCTTTGCTATACTTCATGGGAATACGCAGTAGAATTCATCGAGTCACGGAATAATCATTTTCCATCTCGCAGTGATCGACGGCGTCAGCAGAGTCAAAACAGGCACAGGGGCCTGGCTCGAACCAGCCTCTTCCCGGCTAGTTGGATTGTCTCGGTATTTATCCTACTTTGTTGTATGGTTTAGTCCAATCGCGTCGATATATGTTACAATCATTGGGAGCAAGATAAAGAATACAGCAGATGAGAGAGAGAGAGAGAGAGAGAGAGAGAGAGAGAGAGAGAGTGAGAGAGAGAGAGAGGGAGAGGGATAGGGAGAGGGAGAGGGAGAGAGAGAGAGAGAGAGAGAGAGAGAGAGAGAGAGAGAGAGAGAGAGAGAGAGAGAGAGAGAGAGAGAGAGAGAGACCGGGTTACGAGAACATTGTTATGGGTTGGTCCATTTCGATGTTTCCCCGTACTCGCTCACATTTGGCCAGGTATTCACGTCCGTTAGATAAATGTCGCCCTTGTCATCACTCCTGACCTTTCTTATACTCATGCCGCTAAACTTTCAAGGTTTTATTCACGCAATACACCTCGGAGTAAACAAACCAAATTCAAGCGCAGTCCTCATGATTACCAGACGCACCCTCGCCTTGATTTTTGTTTCAAAACAAAATATAACATCGCGCTATCCGTTACCTAAATCTACACACCCGCGCAGCAAACCTTCCCATCGCGTAACATAACTCTTCATTTCCGACCAGCCCTGACGCAGTGATTCGACAGTGATTTAATTAAAAACTGAGTCCCGAGTCCTATCGAACTACCCAATAAATTTACCCAATCAACGCTTTGTCCCCCCCCTTAAAATAATGAAGCTTACATGGTGTTGTCGCTATGTGCCTAATCCTTACGCTCAGCCCGAGAAAGGTAGCTCTGAACCATCAGCCGGTTGGTGCAAATCACGGAGTGAATATATGAGGGACGGGAGCTGAATGGTTGCATGTTGGCAAGGATTGAGCAGACTTCCTTTCTGTGGCAATTCTTACTCGAACGGCGTTGTTGACCAAGCCGGTCACCGAGAGGTCGATGATGACAGCAGTTTGTCCGTTGTCGATGGCTGAGAGCGTGCACTTTCCTCGATCCAGCTCTCGATCACTGTCGTACTGGATCTTCCCTCGTCAGCTGCTGCCCGTCGCGCTCCTCCCGTCGTACTTCATCCTCCGTGCACTGCCGTGTCCTCTGCGCTCCGCCCAGTCGGACTCGATGCTCCGTGCACTCCGGTGCCCTGTGCACTCCTCGGTCGGACTAGATGCTCCGTGCACTCCGGTGCCCTGTGCACTCCTCGGTACCTCCTCCATGACTCCTCGTTCCTTTATACCCAGATTACTATCGCGTTGGTGTTCCAGGTGTGATAAGCATGGCTAGATATTCGTCGGTGTGGCGTGATAGGCCTAGTATCTTTATCTGTATGATGACTCATGAGTGGCATCGGTCCTGGTTATTGACTTTCTTCCAGCTGGTTGTAATTGGGCCGGGTGCAGTGCTTATCACTTTTGCTATCTTCTTGCCATCTGTCGTGCACACCTTTGTTCTGCTGGGAAGCTGAGGTACACTGTCCGGCGTCGGCGCTTTATTGCTTGGTTTGGTTGTAATCACGATATCTCGGGTATGTATGGTCCGCCATGGTCATTGAACTTCCCAGCTGTTCCTGTTTTGGCCGAACGCTTGTGATATTAGCGAATTCGTCAGTTATTACTCTGTTTGCTGGACGCTCATTTGTCCCAGCTGCCGTCCAGTATCAGAAGTCCCCGACCGTCGGCGTCGCTGCTCGTCAGGTGAATGCCAGATATGGGCATTGGCGTGTCCCACTCCCGGCACGGAACATCTGCTCTTCTGGACGTACATATTTGCACCTCCGATTCCGCAGGGAGGGTGACTGGGACTTTTGGTTAGCATCTGTCGGCGGCTGATAATTTCGTCGGCGTGAGTGTAATTTTGATGGCTTGACGCCTTCTATTTGCGGCGCTTGCGGCATGATACGGCCCGAGGGGTCCCTGCGTCAGCTGTCTCTTGTTTGACATGCTCACACCGGTGTCGATCCACTAGGTCGAGGCGGTGCCGGTGGCGATATCCCAGGCGCAGGTGCAGAGGGTTGGCGCACAGGATGCCGGCCGATTGCGCTTTGGAGAGATAAAGTTCCGTTATGAGCTTTTCCTGTAGATGCGGGCGGGGAGGCGGCAGTGTTTACACCTCTGCAGTGCCAGGTGTAGCCCGTTTTTGGCGTGGCCCTCGCCTTGATTTTTGTTTCAAAACAAAATATAACATCGCGCTATCCGTTACCTAAATCTACACACCCGCGCAGCAAACCTTCCCATCGCGTAACATAACTCTTCATTTCCGACCAGCCCTGACGCAGTGATTCGACAGTGATTTAATTAAAAACTGAGTCCCGAGTCCTATCGAACTACCCAATAAATTTACCCAATCAACGCTTTGTCCCCCCCCCCTTAAAATAATGAAGCTTACATGGTGTTGTCGCTATGTGCCTAATCCTTACGCTCAGCCCGAGAAAGGTAGCTCTGAACCATCAGCCGGTTGGTGCAAATCACGGAGTGAATATATGAGGGACGGGAGCTGAATGGTTGCATGTTGGCAAGGATTGAGCAGACTTCCTTTCTGTGGCAATTCTTACTTGAACGGCGTTGTTGACCAAGCCGGTCACCGAGAGGTCGATGATGACAGCAGTTTGTCCGTTGTCGATGGCTGAGAGCGTGCACTTTCCTCGATCCAGCTCTCGATCACTGTCGTACTGGATCTTCCCTCGTCAGCTGCTGCCCGTCGCGCTCCTCCCGTCGTACTTCATCCTCCGTGCACTGCCGTGTCCTCTGCGCTCCGCCCAGTCGGACTCGATGCTCCGTGCACTCCGGTGCCCTGTGCACTCCTCGGTCGGACTAGATGCTCCGTGCACTCCGGTGCCCTGTGCACTCCTCGGTACCTCCTCCATGACTCCTCGTTCCTTTATACCCAGATTACTATCGCGTTGGTGTTCCAGGTGTGATAAGCATGGCTAGATATTCGTCGGTGTGGCGTGATAGGCCTAGTATCTTTATCTGTATGATGACTCATGAGTGGCATCGGTCCTGGTTATTGACTTTCTTCCAGCTGGTTGTAATTGGGCCGGGTGCAGTGCTTATCACTTTTGCTATCTTCTTGCCATCTGTCGTGCACACCTTTGTTCTGCTGGGAAGCTGAGGTACACTGTCCGGCGTCGGCGCTTTATTGCTTGGTTTGGTTGTAATCACGATATCTCGGGTATGTATGGTCCGCCATGGTCATTGAACTTCCCAGCTGTTCCTGTTTTGGCCGAACGCTTGTGATATTAGCGAATTCGTCAGTTATTACTCTGTTTGCTGGACGCTCATTTGTCCCAGCTGCCGTCCAGTATCAGAAGTCCCCGACCGTCGGCGTCGCTGCTCGTCAGGTGAATGCCAGATATGGGCATTGGCGTGTCCCACTCCCGGCACGGAACATCTGCTCTTCTGGACGTACATATTTGCACCTCCGATTCCGCAGGGAGGGTGACTGGGACTTTTGGTTAGCATCTGTCGGCGGCTGATAATTTCGTCGGCGTGAGTGTAATTTTGATGGCTTGACGCCTTCTATTTGCGGCGCTTGCGGCATGATACGGCCCGAGGGGTCCCTGCGTCAGCTGTCTCTTGTTTGACATGCTCACACCGGTGTCGATCCACTAGGTCGAGGCGGTGCCGGTGGCGATATCCCAGGCGCAGGTGCAGAGGGTTGGCGCACAGGATGCCGGCCGATTGCGCTTTGGAGAGATAAAGTTCCGTTATGACCTTTTCCTGTAGATGCGGGCGGGGAGGCGGCAGTGTTTACACCTCTGCAGTGCCAGGTGTAGCCCGTTTTTGGCGTGGCCACCCAATTGGCGTGCGACCGATAAGAGGGGTCGGCGCTACGTCGGGTCCAGGTGGGGTAGGCCATCTGCCGCCTGCGCCCTGTTGACCCGCGTTATCCATGAATGTGTCGGGAATTGAAGCGCCGTTCTTCTCTCACTTTTGCGTGTTTGGCTTTTAGTCTCACACCAATATGCATGCCTTTTGATTCTGTCAATTCCTGTAAGCTGTGATTCGAAAAAAATGTGGCTTCCGTCACAGTACGAACCAACTGTGGCTCACGCAGCACGCCTACACCAGCCTCTGACGTACCGTAAACCGGGGTGAGTTGATATGGGGTGGTGAGTTGATATAAATTGCTCGAAAAATGTTAAAATGTGTGCTGCTCATCCATTTGTAAACCAATTTTCAGTTTTATTTTTCTGTGAAGTGAAGCAACCAATAAGTGATGCATACAGCTGAGAAAGGCATGCATGTGGTGCAGTGGCTTCTTAACACATTACTTTTTCAAAGTCCTTTTTTTCTTCTGATTTTGAAACTAAGGAAAAGTCCCCACCCTACAGCAAATACGTTGGATATTCATGGAACAACATGCACTGGGAAAGAAACTACCATCAATTTACTGTTGATCCCAGGTAGTTTTGGGTTTCACCTATAACAACGCTTTTTTATATTTTTAAGAAAAGTGACAGGTGGTGAGTTGATATGCCATCAAGTGGTGAGTTGATATGCATGATAAAAGCTGATACCAGGCTGGTATTGTGGGCCGGCCATTTCGGCCGCCCTCGTCGGAGCCGGGGGTCCGCGGATGGTGTTGGCGTCACAGTCGGTAGAGGAGAAGTGAGAGCGTGTATTTAGAGAACATAGGTTTTATGGTGGGTGTCGGGACGCAAGCACGTGACCGGACGGGCAGCCGGCCAGCGAGCCGGCGGTTCCGTGTCGCTATGCGCCCCAGACACCCAGACAGTGAAAAAAGGGAGACAAGACATTGGGGCCTCCATCGGGAGTGGGAGGCCATGATTTCCTTCTCCACATATCTTTCCTCCCCCAACAAGCCGACAAGAGGAGGCGACCAATAAGCAATCACGATCCTAACTGCATAGATCCACGTATGACACCTCGCATGGAACGCCAGGTACGACTGCTGCTGCTGCAGCTACGGCTGCTGCTGCCGCAGGTACGGCTGCTGCTGCTACTGAAATTGGTACGCCTGTTGTTGCTACTACTGCTGCTGCTGTTGTCGCTGCTCTCCGATTCGGTTTTGTCGTCATCGCTAGTCGTCGTCGTTATCGTTGTCGCCATGTTCTGTCGTTGTCGATGTTATGCGCCAGGCACCTCTGCGGGTAGATGATGTCCGAGTTGATCGAGAGGGGCAGCGGCCAGGGTGCGCCGTGACAGTTTGGCCACACCTGTCAACGGAGCGTTGGCTGCCGCCGCACAGCACCGATACCGGAGACGTCAGCGTACCGGAAGCTGGTGGAATTGGCGAGGGTGTTGGTGACCCCTTTGATCGACAGCGCGTTGATGGCGGCGATGGTGCGTTCAGCCATGGTGATGGCGGCTGGCACGGGCGACGAGAGTGACGGACGAACGGACGGAGAACAGCGAAGCACGATGAGCAGATGAGGTAGCAGCGACGGCAGGCGGCCATGTGGGTCAGCCAGGCGTTGGCTTTGGACCTAGGCCACCTGCTGGTTGCAGTTGCAGCCGTTGCAGTCGGTGATGGCGTCCGCAGTTGCAGTGTGTGATTGTGGACCAGATGCAGAGCGACTGAGACAGCCAGACGGGTCGGCGATGAGCGTCCAATCCCATCATAACTATGATCAGCCAGCTTTTGCAGACCGTGATGCGTATCGGCGTTTCTCCGTAGTCGATGTTCGGGGAGTCAGATAGTGGCCACTCCCAGATGGGTAACAGAAACTCAAGGACTGTAATAGAAAAAGAACCGAATTAAAATGTGCCGAAACAATGCCCCAACATATAGGTACATCATACAAAACAGTCATTCATATTTACAGCTGTACAGTACAACATTTGTACAAAAGGCACGTAGCACTGGGCGACACAAGTGTCGTAATGCTTCCCCAGGCGTGCCACGGAACCCATGGACTTTCAAAGGCCAAAACATTCGGGTCCGTAGGACATTCGAATTTGTTTCCGTGTCCAAGTATTCAAACATGCATCCACATACATGCATTTTTCTTTAAATGTTGTGCTATCGCTGTGCCGTTTAGTGGTACATTTGCCATTGTTGTATGTAATAACAGTTGTGTAATAAAACGGCAGTATGAATGTTGTAAAGGCTGAACATTCATTGAAAAACACCATGATATAATTGAAACAGAAGACATGTGTGTGTGTCACAGCGGATAGCAAAACATTGCATGATTGTTAAAAACGGGCAGTACCGCCGGTCAGTCGATCGAGAGATCGTTTACGTCGCAAAGTGAGTAGTAAGGAGAAAAAAAATGGGGCTAATGAGCCAATGACTAGCAAAAGACCGGTTTTAATAGTACTGCCAAGTGACTTACTTTAACGAATAAATTGAAGAGGCCAATGTTTTTAGTGGGTTAAAGTGTTATTGGAATATCTAACTATTGTGTTAGAACTTACTTCGTTGTTTAATAAAAAAATATACGGTTGAAAAAAATGAAGTCCTTTTGAAGAGTGGCGTCTTCTGAACGAGTGCATCTGTGTATTACGTCATACCCGTGAAATCGTTTGGGAAGGCATGCAAACAGCAATACTTCTAATGTAGTTATATCGCTGGTAAATTGTTGAATTGGCAAACTTTCTGTGGACAATTTTTTTATTGCCACTTATTACTTTCGCTGGTGTTAATTGTTCAGAATGGCCAAAAGTTATTGGTCAATATAATAGAAGTCGTTTTTTGTTTTACCAGATGACCAAAATTAAAGCTAATCAGTAGTTAGTTCGATAAAGTATACTGTTAATTAATTGGGAATATCGAGAAGCATGTATGTCCTTTGGGTATTATTTGACGCTGCACTCGTTCCGCCACAAGAAGCACGAATGAAAAAAGAAACAGGGCTAATGTGTCAGTATCAAGACATTTTTGACATTGCAACACATGTAAAGAAATGAAAGATGGCAACAGCAAGCGACAACATAGGTTTTGGCAATCATACAAATGAGAATCATTCACCTCTCATACTAGCATATATATCGTGGATGCTTTATTTACAATGAATTGAGCTCAATGAAATTGCAATTGCTCTCTTCCGTTTACATTGAGTAAACTTTTTGCTCAGCCTTTGGCTGGCGGTGTGCGCGAGGGACGTAATCATCAACCTTCGTTCGCATCACGTGAAATGGGATCTCTGTCACCATTTTTGGCCGTACGTCGGCTATTTACATGCGCGGGAGGGACCTCGTCAACCTCATTGTAACGCAGCATGTCTTCTGCAGGCAAATAATATATTTGAGCGCTAAATGGGCGCTATGTGAGCGCTATGTTCCTTCTTGACGGTCTGGGGGGCGTATGTTTTTGCGAGACCAGAGGTTATACCGCAGGTGATCAGCCTGACTAACCTCTCGGCCTGCTCGACAATTTCGCCAATCTTCCTCCAGCCGTGTAAGATCACTCTGGTCGATCCCATTCTCTTCAGAAGGAGCCTCCAACGTCCCTGGCTTTGCCGGCAGTGTAACAGGTGAACGTGCACCGTTGTTGCTGCTCTGTGAGGCATCACCCACGGAACGAATGGCAGATTCGTTGCTGAGAGACTGTGAGTCGACGCAGGTGTCTATTTGATCGTCTTCTTGACGATTGATATTACGGTGCTCTTGTGTACTTGTGCACTGCCTTGGTGCACATTTCCAAAATCTGTGAGCACTTTGGTTCATGTGAAAACGACAGGAGTCTACATAGTTTTTAACATCGGAGTATATGTTCCTCCAGTAAAATTGAATGCTAATTTTGGAAAGAATGTTTCTGAATAACTTTTTTCCTGACGAAAAAGTGTCATGGACTTTCTCAAGCATCAGTTTTTTCATTGAATTTGGAACTACAAGTTGATTCATAAACTGACGAATCTTGGAATTTTGTTTGGTTACATGGTAAAGTAAGCCATCTGAACTTAAGAAAAAGTTGGAAAGAGATTCATTCAGCTTCAGATCAGGGCCTTTAGCTTTCGGTTTCACGAGGCGATCAATGATTGGCATCAAATCTGGGTCTTTTCTCTGTTCAGCTTTGATTTTCTCTTTTGTCCATCCTGCGGTTTCCGCAGAGACATGACTAAGAAAGTCTGCTTTGTTTTGTGTATCTAATTCGGCACTAGACGAATGATCAGTTGTAACATTCAAAATACCTGGTAGATAAGTGACATCAAAATCATACTCTGATAGTTTTACTAACCATTTCTTTAAACGACCGCTAAGATGAGTTGACTTGAAAATACATTTTAATGGTGAATGATCTGTCATGACATGAGTGACATGACCTAAAAGATAAGATCGCAAATGATCAAAAGACCATGAAATTGCGAGGCATTTCTTTTCTGAAGTAGAATAATTTCTTTCAGCTTTGCTAAGCTGTCGACTAATAAAAGCAATTGGGTGAAATTCATCACCATATTTTTGTTCAAGTACGCCACTAATGGCGAAATCACTTGTATGTGTAAATAGGTAGAAGTCTTTTTCGAAATTTGGAAATTTTAATAAAGCGCATTTTCGTAGTGACCTTTTTATCGATGAGAATGCTCTTTCGCACTCTTTTGACCAAATAAAATCAACATTTTTCTTTGTCAAATGAATTAACGGAGCAGTAAGCTCAGCCAGTTTTGGAATGTGTCTGCGATAATAGTTCGCAAACCGAAGAAAAATACGAACATCTTTCGCTGTTTCTGGTACAGGGAAATGTTGTACCGCTTGTAATTTGGATGCATCTGGGCGAATTCCATGTTTGTCAAGTGTGAAACCCAGATACTTCACCTGGTATTTCATAAATTCACACTTTTCGGGGTTGATCACAAGATGAATTTCTTCTAAACGAGAACATATATTGTCGAGTTTTTCTAAATGCTCGTCGTATGTTTTGCTAGCGATAAGAATATTGTCAACATATAGAAATGCATCTATGCCTTGTAGACTACTGAGTGCAATTTGCAACCCTCTGTTGAGAACGGAGGAACTTGGACGAAGACCCATTGGTTTATCGTTCATATGATATTTGTCGTCATCCTTTGCAAAATCCGTAGAATGACTTGAAGATTCATTCAAAGAAATTTGGTGGAATGTACTAAGGAAATCCAAGGTAGAGAAAACTTCACAGTCAGAAAGTTGATCTTTAACCTGTGATGTAAATGAACGAGAAAACTTGTCATCCTTGATTTTGGAGTTGAGAAGTCGCAAATCTGAAACGATGCGATATTGACCATTTGATTTCTTGACAAGAATGATTGGAGAGTTATATGGTGAAACTAATGGTTTGATAACTCTGGCTGTTACCATGCGTTTTATATTTTCCTTAGTTATCTCCCGATGAGCAAATGGGAGACTTGTTCGTTGATCAGCCGGAGTGTGGTCTGTGAATCCATTGTGATTTTTGTAAACATCTGTCTGTTGTATGTCAGAAATATCATTTCCAAAGACATATCTATGTTTGTCTAAGAGTTCACGGAGTTTAAAACGAAAGTGTATTGGGATGTGTTTCAAATCAATGTCACTGACAGACCTGTGCCCTGACGTCCTCGGGATAGAGGTCGTCGGGTTGTTTATCTCTGTTCTGCGTCCGGTGTCTGACGTAGCCAAATCCGGCTCAGCGACCGTTTTTTGTTGTGGCGAGACGCTGGCGGAATTGGGAACAGACGGCGCTGTTTGACAGTTGGCACTGACTGACCCATGGTACTGAGCAAGGTCAGCGTCCTGTCTGATGGGATGGGGTCGGTCTGTGACCTGACTGAAGGGGTACTTTTTGGTCGGATGGGCTTGTGCGATTCTCTGATTTTTTCTCAAAATGACTGGGTTACTTGAAGCATTAATCACGCGTACCAGCGTGCCTGAATTTTCCAAGAAATTTATAGAACGGGCAACTTGAATGTCTCGAATACTTTGATCACAATGCGTTTGAATTAGGTATGGAAAATCATTTGGTTGTAGAAAATGTGGTAATTTTACGCGTACAAATTTTTCGCTGTATCCAGAAATTTCTACTGTTTGTTTCACGAATAATGGATATGACTTTTCGTCATCAATAGTCAATGCATGTTTTTCTGCAGTTGTGAACATGTCTACCGTTTTATCAGGATAAACGATTTGATCAACAGACTTTTCATTGTCCTTTGTTGATAAAAGAAAACGTACTCTTTTACGTCTTTTGGGACTCAGACGTTTTGAGCGTCTTTCGACTACATTGGAAGAAAGAATTGGTTTTAGAAAGTTCACCGTACGACTCGATGGATTGTAAATCAATTTGTGAGCAATGATAAAATCGATTCCGAGAATTATATCGCATTTGAATGGCAAACTTTTTGCTGTAACGAAAAATGTGTGTTGAACCGTTTGACCAAGAATGCTAATGTTCAGATTGACTTCACCTACAACGTCAATAGGATTTCCAGTAACATCAAGAATAGTGACACTGGGAGGTTCATAAGCTAATTTTAAACCAGATTTTTGCATACATTTTTTTGAAACTAGAGAGACACTACTTCCACTATCATAAAGAGCTGAACAAGTTTGACCCGAAATTTTGACGTCACGTAAAACCGGGGGATGTGCTGAACGGTCCCTGTCATCTGAAGCGACGCTCACGCACTCATCCCCTAGTGCAGTGAGCGGAACCCGTTTGGGCTCAGAGAACGACAGTTTCGACGCGGTGAAAAGTTCCGGTGACAGCTCGAAAATTCATGGTGATAAGAATTTAAACAACAATGACGTCTTTCTTGACAGCAATGATGCGAAGAGTGAAGTGATTTTGAGCGAACAGTTCGAGAACGGCATTTTTGCTGACGAGATTGACGATCACGTCCTCGGCTCTGAGACTTCGATAGATTTTGATCTTGTTGAGCAATAAGCTCTTCTGCTACAGCTAATTCTAAATGAGCAATTCGCCTTAAAATATCTTTCATTTGGGTGTTGTACTCAATACTAAAATTCCTGGTAGCATCTTCCATGGTTAGCCAAACAAATAATGACAAAAATCATATAGAAAAACGAATAGAACTAAACATAAATCTCAAATTTCAAACATTACAAAAAGCAAATGAAATTAATTTAAAGAGAACTCACCTGAAGCCAAAAGTCCTCCACCGACAACCAACCACCACCGCTGGCACCAATTGTGGGCCGGCCATTTCGGCCGCCCTCGTCGGAGCCGGGGGTCCGCGGATGGTGTTGGCGTCACAGTCGGTAGAGGAGAAGTGAGAGCGTGTATTTAGAGAACATAGGTTTTATGGTGGGTGTCGGGACGCAAGCACGTGACCGGACGGGCAGCCGGCCAGCGAGCCGGCGGTTCCGTGTCGCTATGCGCCCCAGACACCCAGACAGTGAAAAAAGGGAGACAAGACATTGGGGCCTCCATCGGGAGTGGGAGGCCATGATTTCCTTCTCCACAGTATGCATGCAAATTAGCATGAAATATGGGTCTGCAGGTAAGACAAAGTCAATTAGACCAACTCTTCTCCTTTTCTCTCCCCACATCATTCCATCAACCCCCAAAAGCTTTAGTTTTTTTTTTCTGAATGCTTGAGACGAGGCCTGTTAGTATCACTGTTGTTAGTTGTCGGACTTTCGTCCCCGTCTTTAGTTGAGATGTTAGTTTCACAACGTTTCAGCCAGTAAATTATCCGGCCATACTCAAATCTGCCTCGATAGTGGAGTGGTTAGAACCGTGTACCATCACCGGGAAAACCCGAGTTCGATTCCCGCTGACTACAGGAGCTTTCGAACGGTTTGACGCGTATGGCGCAACGCCACCAACATCCAGTTCCTTCTGAGGGTCAAAGAACACCTGACGAGTGACGACGGCCGGAGAGTAACTGGCCGAAAGGTTTTGAAACTAACATCTCAACTCAAGACGGGGACAAAGGTCCGACAATGAACTAACATCAGTGACCCCAAAGTGTTTTTTCTGTGGACATACCTAACATGCAAAAGGCACAGCACAACTCCCTGTCAAGTCTCAAGATGGCTCCCTACAAGCTACAAAGGAACACTTTAGAACACCTATATACATACAGATTAAAAAATTGTTATAATTATCCGTAGTTTCGAAAATGACAGAACTGTCGTTTCTGTATGGCTAACAGCGCGGGAATTCTGATCTCGTGAAACTGATAAGTTTTCCTGCTTGGCAGTTGCCAACCGAGAATGAGTGACAAAATGAAATGGAACAAACAATATAAAGAAATTGACTGGTGTTTTAGCCCTCGCCCGTATTCGTGTTCTGCCAGCGTTTAACGTATAGGGTGGGGGGGGGGGGGGTCCGTTGGAATCCCATCGTCGTTTGGCCCCTGGTGGAGCTAGAGCTTCGCGGAAAAAAAAACGAGCGTGTTGCCCGAGACGCGAGGAAGCTGATGATAACCAACTTTAAGGTCCTAGGTCATTGGTTAACCTTCCAGGCCAGGTCAATTACCCAGAAGTCGGGAAAATAGGAAGTTATTTGAAGTTCGTAAAGCGCGGTTATTATTTTTTGGCGGTTGCTGATCACGAATGTCATGTTAAAGGGACTATCCCACCTTCTAAAATGTTGTTAAAACCAGTTAAATTGTGCCCGACTTTATAGATTGGATGACCAGGAACACGGTTCTGGCATTTATTTTTCATTAAACATCTTAGGCTTCCCATATTCCAAACACAAATTTTCAAATATGTGACGTCACAGTCCAAAATTACCTCCTTCCCCAGGCCACATTACTGTCATAAAGCTGATTCTTTTTACTCTGTAGGCACCACAACAAAGTTCAGACCAAGTTTTAAGCGATTTTTCAACGAACAAACCCATTTAAATCAGAATGACTAAACGAGGTGACGTCACACTAACGGTCGCTCCATGTTGAAGATAGGGCCTTGTACAAGGCCCATTTTCAAATGAAGGGAACGAATTTCTTCAACACCAAGAGGCCGCGGGGGTTGCAACCTAGATAGATAGTGGTTTCTGAACCTCGCCGCAAACTTAGCTATCTCAACTCAAACCCCATGTTGAAGGTGGGATAGTCCCTTTAATTTTGATCACAGATGTCTTCGTACATTTAGGCCAGGTCAGGTCAGGTAAGATCAACCAGTAGGTGTCCTGCCGGCTATCCATAGGGAGTGTCAAGCGTCAACTACCACTGACGGTGTCGTAACATGTTACGAAGGCACTAAAACTACTTCGTAAATGATCAAATGCATGTTAAATTCGAAATCGGCCCGAAAAGCTACCCTAGAAACATGTCAAACTCCAAAAAGTGAACCGAGGTCACCAAAGGTCAATGACCTGACCTGACCTTCAGGTGACCTTGACAGTTGACACCCACAATACTGCATTGGACCAACATCATTTACATGTTTGGACGTTACAATCACAAAAAGACTGGAAATGTGCGGATAATGTGAGCCGACTAAGCCAAATCGCGATTCCGGCCAAGCGCGGTCTCGAGAATCAGGTCACAAGTCAAAAACCATTTGAGTCAGGGTCATGAAATTTTTAGAACATGTGTAAAATTGATAAACTCGAGAGTTACTGAAAGTTTCGTCGCGATCGGCCGCTTTTTGCGCGAGTTATGTGCGAAAAGCCGAGGTGGTCCGTTCGCCCGCCTATAAGTGCGAGGGTTAATTTTGGCTTTTGATGCCGAATTCTGTTTTATGTCGCTTATTTTACCTGATAGAATACAGTCCGAATTAGATTCGCTTCACTTCACTTCATTAATATTTTGTTGACTACCAGTCAACAAAAGCTCAGAGGTATATGTATTCTTTCATTTTAATCCATTATCTCTGTCAGAGGCATATCAACCTTGACCCGCAACTGACAATGTGTTTTAATTACAAGAAAAAATACACTTGTAATTCCAAAATATATTGCCAGTTTTGATACCGTTGGCTTGAGGACACGTGACTAGCCAAGTTCAGAATGTTCTAAATAAAACTAAGTATCATAAAGCGAAAAAATGATGCTGCTAAAATCAAGCCATTTTGATAGCGCTGTGTTGGACATGATTGCGTTTTCATGAATGTGAGGTCTGCTGCCAAACTACTACCATTTTTCTGATGGTTTCTTTCAGGATGTGTTCTCTCATCCTTTTTTTTTAAACACTGGCATTTTATCAACTCACCTCTGAGCCTCTTTAGCCGAGAAATTTTGAAAAATCCAAAACCATATCAACTCACCACCCCCCAGGGGGTGAGTTGATATGAACTTTGGCGTTTTAAAAAAAGGGGCTTAATATATACATTTTTTATTCATTTTTGCTGATTGCCTCCCCAAGGCATGTGCCATGAAACTGGCACGAAAAGAATTCCGTAAATGAATGTGGTTTTTAAAGAAATCTAGAAAAACCTCAAAATCCATATCAACTCACCCCGGTTTACGGTATAAAAGTAGCTCTGTAAAGGCCTCGCCAGGAGTCGTATCTCCCCCCATCCACTCGTTATGAGAGAGGGTCTGGCCAGATCAGGGCTGAGGAAAGGGGTTATTCTACGTACCGCATCACAGTGTCTCGAAAACTTCGTTTTACCCGCGAGCTGCTGGATGAGTTAACCCCCCACTTTTTCGCCGCGCTAAAAAAAAAAAAAACGGCCGCGTCGCAGGAGCTCCCAATTCTGGTTGCATGTAGGGAATCCATTGAAGTTCATTGCGATGAAATTTCAAACAAATTGGTGGGGAAAATTAAGATTGAGGTTTTAGTGACGTCATGACTCCTGAGTTTCCGACCAACAAAGGTATGTGTTAAAAAATCATAAACTCACAGAATAGCCATAGACACATGCCGTTAACCCGCGAGTTGCTGGGGGGGGGGGGGCGTTAAACGCCCCCACTTTTTTGCCGGGCCATAGCATAAAAACGGCGCGCCGCAGGCGCGCCAAATTTTGGCTACCTGTAGGGAATTGAATGAAGTTTATTGTGACAAAGTTTCAAAAAAATCGGTCGGAAATTTTTGAGATATCGAGGTTTTAGTGACGTCATGATTTCTGGGTTTTCGACCAAAAACGGCATATGTTCAAAAAATCGTATAAAATCACAGAATAGACATACAGACATGCCGTAAACGCTTTTAGACTGCCAATACCATGGTCAATCAAATGCCTATCTTCGATTATTGATTATCGTTCCGCATTTTCCAAAATCTTGAACTGAATCTTGGCAATTTCTCGTGACTACTTCACGACCATGATACATGCATTTCTTAAATTGAACTTTTTGAGCCAAACACGTACACATATGATAAAATGAATGTAACCATCGTGTTCTACGCCCCAAATTACCCATAAAACATGTGTCACAGGCTGCGAATATCAGTTTTGATTTTCTGGGATATGTGCCTATCCAGTTGACCTGACCTTGTCCGGCCTGACCTATGCTTGACTGACCTCTACATGGAGCTGACACTCTTGTAGGTCTTATATGATGGATTGTGCACCGTTTTGACAGAGTTACTGACGAGAGGCGCCCATTGCGAAGTCCTGAAGTCGATGCTACTGAAAGCCCGATTTCAGGTGTTTGACCTGACCTTGACCCGACCTGTGACCTCAAAATTCAACTTTGAAGTGCTCATCTGAAGCGTCTCGTCGCGCTATTTCGTTTGCCGCCTCGTGCGTTTCGCTGCGCCTATTGGTTCTCGAGTTATCGGCTGGGGGCGTTTAACGCCCCCCCCCCCCAGCAAACGGTGGTGGGTGGCGAAATACCCCAGCAACTGCCGGGTTAAGGCGCTTAGACTGTTTCAGGTGAAACCTTTCTCTCAGTCTTATATACCGTACGTTTTCTGTTTTAGAAATGGAGACTGGACAGCTCCAAGAGAAGTTTATCCAGATGAAAGAAGAGATGGCACTTCTGAAGGAGGAACTGACACATCGTAATCAAGAGGACATGGTCCGTTTGGATGGTGAACTGACCACTCTGAAGAAAAACTGCGACCACCTGAGTGAACAAGTGGTCGGACTGGAGGGAGAAGTGGCCACACTGAAGGGGGACAACGCCACACTGAAGGGAGAAGTAACCACACTGAAGGGAGACAACGCCACACTTAAGGGAGACAACGCCACACTGCGTCAGGAGGTGGTCCATCTACGTGAAGAGGTGGTCCGCCTGCGGCAGGCTGTCCTCGAGGAGCGCACCACTCGCCAGGTCGTCGTGGAGGAGCTGCGGCAGGAGGTCCGCCGGCGAGCGGCGCCATCCGACCGTTCGCAGAGGTGAGACTGAGAGGCAGCAGGGGTGGGGTGGGGGTTAGTCGGTGGGATGACGTTAGGGGGTTAACAGTAGGAGTAAGTCGGTTTTGACTGCAAGGGATTGTGAATAGTTTGTAAGAGTCAAACCGGTTGTGTACGTGTAGACAGTTTGTAAGAGTCAACCCGGATATGTAGAGAGTTTGTTTGTAAGAGTAAACCGGGTTGTGTAGACAGTTTGTCTGTAAATATTGACCGGTTGTATGGACAGTTTGTCTACATATAAGAGCCGAACCGGTTATGTAGACACTAGACAGTTTGTAAGAGACAACTCGGTTTTGTAGACAACTTGTCTGTGAGTGACTGTGAGGCAGCAGGCTGCTGGGTGGCACAGGGATTGGGGGGAGGGGACACTAGATGGGCTTTCACAGATCGATGGTACGGTGCTGTCTTGGAAGTGGAGACTTCTGGAAATTATCGTCTAATGTCCGATCTCTGATGACGTCACACCACGTCACTCTGACGTCATCTTGTCTCAGTGACGGCGAGGAGGTGGCTTCTCCGAAGGGGGACACTTGTGACAAGTGTGGCGCCATCAGAAACTGTGACGTCATCACCCAAGCTGAGGAGGAGGCGGGACTGGCGGGCGGCGACGTGCGAGAGGCTGCACCGCGATGGGCTCCTGCCATTTATCTTCTGGACCACGAGTTGTTGAAGATGGTGCTGAGCAAGATGGACTGCTGGGAGATGTTCCGCGCCAGGCGGGGTGAGTGTCCTGCCGACTGGCGAGGTCATGTATCGTGTTTCACAATAACATACAATCGATGTGGTGTTTCTCCTTAGCCAGCGGAGTGGTCGGCTTTGGGACAATCTGATCAGAAGTCTGCACGTGGATGGAGGGTTTCTAGAGAAGCGAAAGGTCACCAAAAACCACAACGTGGTTATTAGCTATCACCTACTTGTTTTGGTAGTGTTGCAAACGCTCCCTGTATGCGAGTTTTCATTCCGAAGCTCGCCGCTGGCATGTAATCTGCTCCTTTTTGTTCCGTCTGTGTCGACAGTCTGCCAACGGTGGCGGTCCGCCGTCGACGATATCGTCAGCGACTGTCGGCGGGAACTAACCGATCAGAAAACCCGTAGTGGAGAGGTCCCGGCGCCGGCCACGAGCCTGGAGCTCGTATTGAAGGTGCAGGACCAGCCGAAGATGACCGAACTGCAGGCGCCGACCGCTGAGACGGACACCGACCTCCGACTGGTCGGTGAGTCCTGTGTGAAACGCGTTACACACGAACTGGTACGCTTTGTCCCGCTGTAACTGTCATTCCTTGTCCATACAAGTGACCACTTATTCACTGACTGGTGCTGCTTTATTCCAGCAGCCACCTGCCACGCCCTGCAGAAGGTTAACCTGCGCGGCTTCAAGCTGAGAGTCTCTGCCCTGCGTCGGCTGGCTCGTGCCAACGCCTCCAGTCTGCGTGAGCTAACGCTGCCAGCCGGCATCAGCGACTGGCAGCTGGAGGCTCTGCTGGAGCCGCTGAAGGCTCTGGAGCGTCTCAATGTGAGCCCACCCGTGGACAGCTCCGGCAAGTGGCTGCGGCTGCTGCCCAAGTCGCTGAAGAGACTGTGCATCACTGGTGAGAAGGGTTAACGGGCGATGTTGGAACGCGTTAGTTACTATCGTACGTCACGCTAGCTCAGATAAGAAATCGCCGCGCTGGTCCGTACTGTAGGTCAGCCATATTCACCTATACAAATCACGTTGTTAGGCTCCCTGGGATCATTGAGTCAAAAGTTGTGGACTTGTGAATGATTCGTGAATCTTCTTGCGATCGCCGGTTCAGAAATTTTCAGCGTGCGAGTCTCGCTGTGATTGCTTACACAGAAGTTCTCGCCGGCGCTTTTGATAGAAAGAATTACGCCTTGATTGTCAGTTAGCACATTATCAATGATTTTTATTTGTTGCTATTCACAAATGATCGAATGATCACTGACAACATCAACGTCAATTATGAACTGCATCACTGTCACATAACGGCAGTGCTTTTACCAGCATCTGATCCTTGTTGTGTCGAGACGCGTCGAATGATGAACGATAGCCCGCGCCCTGGTGGGGGGGGGGGGCTATTTTTTGCCCCCCCTCCAGACTTTTCGATATATCTCCAGAACCGCTGCGCCGATCGTCACCAAACTTTCAGTACCCTCCCGGACATCAATTTTACACATTGTGACCAAAAATTTTTCCAAAGGCTATGATAGGTTGGCCGGAAATGACGTCAGAGTGACGTCATGTTCTGCCGTTTTCGACCCAAAAAAGGGTTTCGCGGGAAGAGCTGTCAGGCCTATAGCTTTGCAAATACAGAAAAATGATTAAGACATAAAAGCTGTAGATTGGACAGGGCTACAAAACTGCTATCTCGGATTTTTGAAATTTTTGGATTTTGACCCCCAAAAATCAAAAAATAGATTTTTTGGATATACTAATCGAAAAATCCAAAAAGTTTTTTGAATTTCGCAAAAACCGGAATATATGTGATAGTCCTTACCGCCTTCCATCCACATACCAAATTTGAGATTGATACCTCCTTTTTTGGCGAAGTTATAGCGAAAAAACTGTTCAAAATTGATGACGTCAAATTTTCAAACTCAATTTTTAGCAATTCTAGACCCCGTAGCGCAAAACAAAGACCACCATTAGACTCCCCGTGACGAGCTGCATCGAATCAATACCCAATTTATGCAAAAATATCAACTTTAAAATTTGACCTTTTTTGGCCTGACCTTGACCTGACCTTGACCTGAACTTCACCAGAAAGTGACCTAAGCCGTACCTGATAGTCTTATAACCAACACCATTGAGTTGGAAATGAAAAATTGGCCATAAAACATGTATCACACAACCTTAGTAAAGTTGGGCTCATGTGACCTGACCTGTGACCCTTGGTGACCTGACCTGGTATTGCTAGTGACCTCTAATAGCAACATATCTACTAGGCAACTGACGCCCTACCGCTGATTCCCGACAAAATGCGTTTTCCTCGGTGTTATAGCGCATTCCCTAGAAGACCCGTGAACGGTGAACCATTTCATCTTTGACCTGACCTGTGACGTCATCGGTGACCCCGAGGTCAATGAAATTTGGTTTCCTTCGACAAATTTGACAGGCCTTTCGAACGCCGTTTGAATTTTGCGGATCCGTCCAGTAGTTTCGGAGATACGAGGGGGGGGGGGCAAAAAATAGCCCCCCCCCACCAGGTCGCGTTATAAACAGACCCCACCAGGGCGCGGGATAGTTTGACCAGTAAAATATCAGTTTCATGAATTGGTCCGAGATCGGCTTCATAGCTGGCGGTCAACTTACATACTTGTGATTCCGTATTGTTGAGCGCAACATTTTCAAGGTTCAAGGAGCTAGCATAGATCCATTGTTTGCTTATCTATCAAAATTCAATAGTTTTCGTCGTCGGAAAACTGTTATTGACCTTGGTCCTTTGTCGATCTTATACGACCTCATAAGTAAAATCTAGGATCACTTGCGTCATCACTTGTGTCACTTGTGATCACTTGTGTCAACAATTCAGTTTTCGATAGGAACCCATAAAACTACGTTTGAAAGTGTCAAAATGGCTTTCTATAGAGAAATGGCGGATAAACATCCTCTCAATTTTCTGCAAATATAAAAAATAGATGCGCTTGTTTCATGAAAACCCCCTCCCCTCCCCCTCCCGTCACGGCGCGGGTTTACGGCTGATTGTATCACTCTCCACAGGATCCGGGATGACTGAAACGCCGGTTGTCCACACCCGATGGCCGACGTCTGGACTGGATGTTGGTGTACAGCTAGCGACGGACACACTTCTGGACCAGCTGGCTGTTCTGGCGACCCACACAGTCACAGGACTGGCAATAGTTGGTGAGCAGCAGCATGAGTAAAGTATAGAAAGTTACAAAGTGTTGTGTATGTTGCATTATGAACGGGAGATGTTACTCTTCTGTTGTCTCAAATTACTCTAAAAGAATACAAAACTCATTGCGCCTGTCGTCCGGCTCTCGCCGGTATTGCATGCCTGTGGTGTCGCGACTGGGGCGCTAATTCATCGTTCGGTTAGGCACCTCAACAGCGACGAGCTCGATTGAGAGAGGTTAACCGGTTAGAAGTGTAGCCCACATCAAGGAGTTCAGATTAATGGTGCTTGTGAATTGTGGAGAGCCCGATATTATGCGTTACGCGCTTCGTAATTATTTTATCTTACTATCAATAGTTACTGCTGGGATCTGGGCCACGGTGATCGCAACGTGTGTACATACGAGTATGCACTTACATGGTGTGTCAAAAGTGGAAATAGCCGCCCGGCTTTAGTTCGCCAGCCTTGTCAATAGATGGCAGTACCACAATATGGGCAGCGAATCGTGCAATTGACGTCAAATTTTCGTGATCTGCTAATAATTGAATGGCGGATCTTTTCATGCAAGAATCAAGTATATCGGTCCACAACTTTTCTAGCAACAGAGATATGAAGTCAAACACCCTGCCAGAGCGGCGGCGCGGCGGCCGGTGGCGGCCGCTACGCGCCGCCTGGGAGACTGGCGGCGCTGAACGGTTCCGACTTGGCACTGCACTAAAACCTGTTAACTGCTTGGAATAGTTATTATAGCAAAATTTTCATTCAAGTGAGGAATAAACAAGGGCAGGAAGTATGTATGCTTGTGTGCGTACTGTGTAAGTCAAGAAACTGCATTAGCAGATACTCGCTAATATTAGATCCAGCCAAGTCCAAACGCATTCCAGGGGATGTGTCTCTGATGGGTCAACAATATTTATCGTTCGAGGGCGGATACAGTTTTAACAATACAAAAAATATTTTTGCACAGCTCTATTCCTTGAATAATTCTCTTCAACGCCTCATTCCTAGTTAAGCGAATTAGCCCACCCTGGTTGAATAAATAAGGCGATTTCGCCACAAGGTCGCGGAAAACCGACCGAAAACGGCCGCGCTCAACGTTAATTTGGGCATGCAGACTCTTAAAAA